ACAACTTTTGGGAAAGCAAGGCAATGTGAAATTCAATGGAAACGTCAGCTCTACTCCCATCATTGTGGAAGAATTCTACCACCTTAAACGAAATTGGGTGAATACATCTCATTATATGATAGACATCATCAAAGCTGGGACTCATTCCTGTAAAATTGTCAAGTTAACACTAGAACAAGAATACTATCCGGCTCTAGTTTTGCTATTTACGCGCATAGAAACTGAAGTTTGGTGCTCGAAATGGTCACCTTTGCGCGGGTTAATGTTCGAGGCCGACGAGCCTGCATTCGACGAACTATTGCAAGAGCGGAAAGGTCTGGCAGACTCTGGCACATTCCTCTTGTATTTACGTTTGTCTGATTGTTTTCTCGATTGTTTATGCGTCACCATATCAGGTCTTCTGGGCCCCCGGACTTCCGTCCGTCCTGTGGCATGTCGTCTGGCCGTCGGGTCATCATGGTGTCTTCTTATTCTCACTCTGCTGTCTGTGCGCATGTCTGTCTGTCTATCTGTCTATCTGTCTATCTGTCTGTATCTTTTTAACCGATGGTCTGCTTAAGTCGACTTTGTGCTGCCATGACCAATAAATGGGCTATCCAAGTTGAGCTGACGGCAACTTGATTCCCCAAAGTTCACTTCACAAGTCGATCAATCTGTCCACGGGCCAATCTCATTTATTCTACACATTTCTGTGTACTAGCCTGCATACATTTGTGTCTGTGTGTCTCTGTCTGCATACCTCCTGTCCTGACGACTACCTATTTGTCCATTTTGTCATCCATACCTATACCCATGCGTCTATCCCTCTATCAGAGGTCTTCCTATTGCGCTCTGCTGGCTGTCTATTAACCAGTGAGGCAGTCTATCTGAGCAATCGTAATCATAGTAAGTAGGCCTCGAGACTATCAATAGATCTTGATTACTAATTCTAGTCACTTTGGGTTGTACAAGGTGATAAAAGACGTATCTGACTGATGACCGACGCAATTACACCTGTGGCAGTGCGGTGTAGTGGTAGTATGTGGACAAGATACATTGCACTCTCCGGGTTCGAGTCCAGTTGGCGAAGGTGATAACATCCAGGTGAGGTTAGATCTACAGTTTGACCGGAATGAGATTACACTTTAGGAGAAAATGCTGAATAAAATGATGCTTACGCATATGATTATAAGAAAATTCAACAGTCACTCCTTTTTCAGCATGATTTTCTGTACTGATGATTCAACTCTATGTACGAAA